CCCCCCCCCCCCCCCGCTCTCACGATGTTGAGGAAGGACATGCCCGGCCTGGGGCTCAGCTCTTCGAGGGCGTCCGCGTAGATGAAGGGCGCCGAAAGGTGGACGTCGCCGTCCTGGACCGGCCTATTGAAGTACACCACCTGCTTGGACGTCGTGCATACAAGTAGACACGTATCGCAGGTCGTCCCACCGTCCCATGAGGGGCCCAAACAGCACAATCAACAGTCGCCAACCTCGGGCCCCGACGGAGAGTCTGACATGACAGCCACAACGTGCAAATAACGATGACAGCACCAACAGCAGCAGCAGCAGCTACAGCAGCAACAATGACATGCAGCGGCATGATTTCAACGCTGTTTCGCCATCGAGGGTGGTGCCGGCAAAAGAAAAAGAACCATGGAGCACGTCGTCATGTGCAGTGCTGCGCTCTTCGCACCACCCAGTGTATGAAGCAGGGCGGATAGTTTCGGGACATCGGTCTGCCCACATATCGCACACGCCCCAGGAGGCAAACACCTCCATCCCGATTTCGATTCAGAACAGCAGCCCGGTGTGATACCTCCTCGCGTATGCACCATCACAACCAGCCGCAGCAGTTGCTTCAGCCGGATGGATCGGTAGACTCCTCGTTGCAAACCGTGCTCGCTCACCACGTCAAACCATAAGGTAGCCTACTGCTCCCCCTTGGACATGGCGCAAAAGTCGGGCGCAAAAAACAAGTCTCATCATCCCTCCCTTGAATTTCTCTACTCCTCGCAAGTGGTGCCGTTGCCTACGTGTCGAGCGGGGAGTCATCAGCAAAAACGTGGCGACGCTACGGGGCATCTCTTCAGCAAGGCATAGAGTAGGAAAAACCTAAGGTCGAGATAGGCGAGACCTTAGCGGCATGCTCCAAGCGAAGGGAATCGAGCGGCACGACGTTTTTTTTTTTTTTCCAAAACAAAAAAGAGAAAATAACGGACCACTTTACCTGGCCTAGGTTAGGGGTGGCGAAGTCTCCCCTGTCCACGGCCCGAAACGCCTCGATAATAGCCGGCGTTTTCACCATGCCATGCTTCTTCATGTACGCCACCAGCTCGTCGTTGCTTCGCGGTAGCTTCATGTCTCCGGATGCCACCTTCCTATAGCTGCGGCGAGAAACTGCACCTCCTGGTCTCTTTGTCTATCCCGCGCTCTCTTTTCTCTCGTCGCCCAGTCTTGTCGCTTTTCTTTGTCCAGGTTTTTTATGTTCCCACGTTCTCCGCTTGTTACGCGCAACCGGTGTGTACGTCTTGCCCCCGGCGTGGCGGCTGGAAACACCCACGATTCCGACGACAGCAAAACTCCTGCTACGAACAAACGTGCTCGTACTTTTCGACACAAGCTTTTGTTGTCGAAAGACCGAAAACACTGCCTGCGGTCAGCAGCAGCCAAAGGAGATAGTCATTGTTGTGTTGGACACGATGGGGTGTTGGTTGTCACGCTACGGTGAAGTTGATGTTTCTTCGGGTATTCGTCGTCGGATACCACTGGCTGGTGTAGCGGTGGGGTCTCTGTGATTTAACAATAGTGCACAGACAAGTGACACGTTGGGGGCGGGCGCGCGAGGCGGGGGAGCGGTGTCGAGTGTCACTACTATCTGTCGTGAAATCGGAATTGCCGGCAAGAACAGGGCATAGAGCGATACGAAAGAGACAAGATTGAACGAATACCAAAAACGCCATGTTCAAGTTAGGAGGAGGGGTGCACGAAGACGCAACTTGACGATTATTGCATTTCCTCCCATTTCAAGGTAGGAGAGAGGAAGACACCCTGACACCGGTCGTATGCATAGCAACGACATACACGTGTGCATAGCAACGACATCGGAAGCACGGGAATGCATGTTCCGTGCAGAGCAGGAACCAAGTGTGAATGGGGATAGTACACATGTGCTACCGCCGGAACAGCACTTCGATGTACGACAGGAAACGGACCAACCGCCAGCTCAAGATCCGACTACTCCAGGCTGAAGTGGTGCAGACCCTCCTATACGGGTGCGCCTCGTGGAGCCTGGCAGCGGAGCACTACACCAAGCTGAATGGGACCCACCGCCAGTTCCTGACACGGTGTATCGGCTGGAGCAAGCGGAAGCGCTCAGACCGACCCCTGTCCTACGCCCAGGCCCTCA